ACACACACACACACACACACACACACACACACACACACACACACACACACTGTGGACAATAAACAACAGAAAAAAAAGTTCAACATCCTTAGCCACCAGGGAAATGCAACTAAAACCGCTTTGAGAGTCCATCGTACCATAGCAGCGCCAGCATCAAAACGCACAAATGACACCATATGCTGATGGTGGGGGTAGAAACTTAAGACGCCACTATGAAAATCAGTGTGAGGTTTCTCAAACAATTAGAAATAAAAATAAAAGTGGACCCGCCGTATGACACAGCTACCCACTCCTGGGCATATATCTGGAGTTTCCTACATCAGTGTACCACAGAGAGATCTGCACACGCATGTCCACTGCTGTGGTGCTTGCAACAGCTTGGGACTGGGAGAAGCCTAACATACAGGTGTGGAAAATATTCACAATGGGATTTTATCCTGCCACAAAGAAAACAAATTCTTGGCATCTGCAGGAAAATGGCTAGAATCTGAAATCATTATGTCATGCAAACAAAGTCAGGTTCACAAAGACAAACACTATATGTTTTTTTTTTTTTTATGTAGATCATGAAACTAGAAAGGGAACTATGCTGGATAGTTTTATGTTGACTAGACACAGGCTAAAGTCATCTGAGAGGAGTGAACCTCAATTAAAAAAAAAAAAGCTCCATAAGAACAGGCTGCAGGCAAGCCTGTAAGACATCCACTAAATTAATAATTGATAGGGGAGGGCCCAGCCCATTGTGGGTAGTGCTGTCCCTGGGCTGGTGGTCCTGGATCCTATTTAAACAAACAAACAAACAAAAAAAAAAAAAACAAAAACAAAAGCAGGCTGAGCAAGCCACAGGGAGCAAACTAATGAGCAGCACCCTCCATGGCCTCTGCATCAGCTCCTGCCTCCGGGTTCCTGCCCTGTTTGAGTCCCTGTCCTGACTTCCTTCAGTGATGAAGAGTGATTTAGCAGTATAAGCCAAATAAACCCTTTCCTCCCCAAGTTTCTGGTCGTGGTGTTGCCTCACAGCAATAACAACACCAAGTAGGACGGAAGTTATGTAGAAAGAGACCTTGAGGCAGTAGATGCTGAGATGAGGGTAACGGAGTGACACATCGCACAAGCACTGTTGCGGGGTAAGGAAGGGACCAGTAAGGAGTAAAAGGGGTGAGGGAGGAGGTGAAAGTTTGGTATAAGAAAAACAAAATGCATTTGTGTGTGTGTGTGTGTGTGTGTGTGTGTGTTCGTATGCGTACACGTGCATGAGTATGCATGTGTACTTTTACTCTGTGCTAGGTTGCAAGGTGTCAGAGAACAGGAGGACTGTGCTACGTGTTAGTCTCCATTACAGACATGGTAAACAGATTATCAATCCTAACACTCTCCCACACACTCAACTCCAATCCCAATTGATGCTGTTTGCCTCAGTAAACACGAAGCAGTTCTTACGTCAGCCAAAACTGAGGGTCAGCCGGCTGGGTACATGAAGCTACTCATCAAAGGGAGGCCAAGTGGACATACAAATGCGTATGTCACTTGATGTGTTCAGAAGCAGCCGGGCCCTCCCTTTGCCCTCTGTGGGAGTTAACTTCCGTCTGCTCTGCCCTCCTTTCATCTGGACTACTGCTGAGGGCACACCATAGTCTGTGTCATGTTAAGCGGATGGGGCCATGCTGACCCTCCTGTCTAGTGTGTCAGCCCCTAGAGAGTAGAGACAAGTTATGATCAGGCACATGTCAGACAGCTGCCCAGGAATTTCAACATATTGTAGTGTCAGAATAGCCTGCTGTACTGATTCTAGGAGTTAGGAAGGTGTGTGTAAACAAAACACACAGACAAAAGCCGTAGGCTACCCCAGTCCCCATGACAGAGCAGTGCTGTGGCTGAAGGCAGATGGGCCTGAGTTCAGAACCCCAGCACCCACAGAAAAAAGCTGGCTGTGGTCCCACTGGTGCAGGTAGGTTGGCTGGGTGGGGTTGAAGACAGAGCCTAGCCTACAAAAATGAATGAATGAATGAATGAATGAATGAATGAATGAATGACTAAATAAGTAAGGTGAGCTTCAGATTCAGAGAGAGAGAACTAGTCTCAAGAGAATAAGGTAGATGGTGATAGAGAGACACCCAACATCTTCCTTCCTTTGCCACACACACACAGGTACACACAAAACACACACACACATGAACCCACAGACACACACAGACACAGGCATACACACCCACATGCACACACATCACAAACACAAAACAAAATACGATGGTTGGTATAAAAAGAGCTCAAAACTAACAATATTTATCGACTCATTCATAAATTTTAAACTGAAGTTTTTAGTTTTACAATATGAAAGTATTCACTAGACATTTTACAAGGTATACATTAACAAAATAGAGTGGTAAAAAAATCATCTGTGTTCCACCAGTCAACAATAAACACCATTAATGTGCATATTTTATTGGCATAGACTAGTTTCTTGGTTTGTTTACATTATTTCAAGCAGCGAGAGACATTTGCATATTGCTTTGTCTGTAGAGCTCAGGCAGGAGACTGTATTTGCCAGTCAGCATCTCAGATATAATAAATCAACATTTAGTTTGCCGATGTCTGCCAGGGTTAGCGAATGCCATATGTTTTGGGTAGATGACACTCAGGCAAATCAGTAGAGGGGCGAGTGAGCAGTTTTACTCCCTGAGCCATCTCCCCAGCCTGTCCTTCTGCTCTTTGTAGTGCTAGTTTGCTTTGGTTTTTCTTTTTGACAGTACTGGGGGGTAAACCTGGAGTCTCATGCATACTAGACAAGTGCTCTGCCATGGAGCTACACCACCAAACCCATACCGGGTATCCTCAAACACGGCTTCCCAAGGAAAAGAGGCTAGCGGTACTTTTTGTGCAGGTTTGAAAAGGGATGGTAACGCTCATCAGCTGACTTCTCCAGCAAAGCAAACTGACAAGGTATTCAGGCTTTCTTCCTGACAGAGTACTAGACTCCTCAGACAAGGGGAAGGTGCTGCCTGCTGACCTTTCTCGGCGAAGAGGCTGATCCAGAGGGCTGGTAGGTCTGGATAACGGGGAGGAGGCAACTGAAGTTCCTGGGTAGAAATCAGCGTCCCCTTGGTGACTGAGCCAGGACCTTCTGGACTTGGTTGAATCTAGAGGTGACTGACTCCTTAAGACAATCCGCTCATCTGGCTCTCTGATAACCTGAGTGACAACATATGTTATTCTCCACTTGCAGTTTTGGTTTTCATTTGCCTAACATAAAGCTGGGGGCAGGCTAGAACAAGGAGGGAAATTGAGGTACAGTAACAGAGTACCTGGCCAGGGAGCTCCTGTAAATAAAAGCGGGGAACTCCTGTAAAGGTAGAGGAGCCTCAGGAGTCCAGGCCAGGGGGACATGGCCAAAAGGCTCTAATTGGCAATGTTAACAAATCAAAGTAAACTCACACTTGGAACACTTTGATTTCTGAGGGCATGGACTTTTCGGTTCCAGGAAAGATCTGACTTTTTAAACAAAGTGTGTCTGTGCTGTACATATACATTGCAGCATATACTTAATTTCCTCCACTACATCTCTCTCAGTTTGTAGCATACGAGCTAGAACTTTCAGCCTGACAAACTGATCACACTGAGGACACATTTACCACCTCACTGTATAAAAGTAACTGATTAAAGGAAAGCAACATGGGTCACTGGTCCTAAAGTAAGAATCGCCCTATGTAACCCTACTCTTGGTAATGGATCACCCAAATGAACGAAGGGGAGCAAGCCAATGGATTCCCCCAGTGACGCACAGTGGAAGCTGCGCACTGGCCTGCATAACCCCCCCCCCCCCAGCTATGCTGCCCTCGAGAGCAGCGCGAGTAGGAACAATTCCTCCCCGTTCATAGAGGCGGGAGAGAAACCATTTACAGATGCCGCTGCTGATGCTAAAGTTACCTTTATGTTTGCTGCAAAGCTGTCAAGAGAAGATGCTAGAAGAAAGAGGAACAGTGTGAGGATTGTTATTACCAGGTAGCCATAATCCCATAGCACAAACAAACGCCCCCTTGTAAGTTCCAAGATCACAACTGAGACTCCCTTGGGGCCCCCGCAATTCTACGGGACCTTTCTGTCTCCCTGCGGTCCACAGTCAGGTTGTATTTTCAGTGACAGTACAGCTGGAAAGGGGGTGGGGGACAAACCTGACAGGGATTGTAAGTTCAAGACCCTTTCACAGCCTTAAAGAGAGAAAACATATTTTCCCAGGTGCCCAGAGCTCAAAAGAAGGCAATATGGGCTTAATATACAGTTTCTGTGCTCTGCCTCGTGAGTCCTTCTTGGTTTCTGGAGAAGTCTTTACATAGGGGCTCATGAGGATACTTGGGCAAGGTGAACGTGAATGTGAAATCAGTCCAAACAATACGTGAGAGCATAGAGAAACACAATGCATCTAAGGCACAAATCACTGTCGTTCCCTTAAATATTTATGAGGCTAGTACACACTAGCGAGCGGCAAGGATGATCAGAGGGTAACGGCCTATCATGTCCAAGACCCTAGTTCCAAACAACACAGAGCACTGCAGTACTAACATAATGAGGGTAATAATAATCCCAGAAGTAGTAAACACACGTGGAGAAAACTAAAAAGTGGATTTTTTTTTTCCAGGTTTAATGACAAAAGAGTCTCTGGACTCCTCGTACCCTTCACAGCACCAGCTGCAATAAGGAAGAAAGGAGATTTTTAAAGCTCGATTTGTTCCGTACCTGGGTACACTCACCTCGGTGTGCACACAGTCCTGGAAACTCCCCACCCTAAGCTGAGCAAGGAATCAGCAACGCTGAGCGCCCTGCAGATACAGCTACAAAACTCTCCTGAGGCACCGGAACCCCTTGGGCACAATCCTGCACTCGGCATGCATTAACATCTGCATTAACATCTGTTCTGCTTTTGACCCTTGTTTCTTAAAGGGCAATCCACGGTCCAGCAGCATGAGGACCACCCAGAAACTCGTGAGACAAGGCCCCAGGCCCCACCCCAGCGCTCCATCACGACCTACAGTTCAACAAGAGCCCCAGCTTTCTCAGAGGCATGGCTGCTTTATTCTCCCATAGGCCTGGAGGTGGCCCAGGCATGGGAATGGCTTGACAAGCCACAGGGATCCCAGGACCCAAGTCCAGAGATCTGAGCTCCTGGAGGGTATAGCTACGCTAACAGCTTGATGTGTGACCTGTACTCACACTGTAACCTCTGCAAACTTCCTCACCAGCCAGGATCATGAAACGGTAAAGCCCAAGACAGGCGTGATGTATGCCAGCCACCATATGCAAGCCAGCACCAAGCTCGACCGTCTCCCCAAGAATGGATATTTGCTGTTGCTTGCATTCACTGGGTCAGGGAAGACAGCGTTGCTTTCACAGGCTGCACCAGTGATCTTCAATTGCAGGGCTTAAATTAAGTGTCAGAGGTGATGAAGCACTTCCGCCTCCCGCCCCTACACGCCGTCCGCGCTCAGCTGTGCTCAGGCACTCTGCTGTAAGAACACTGGCCTGAGGTGCCACAAAACACCTGCAGTCCCTTCCAGGCATAAACTACGAAGCCGGACACCGGGAACTCTCCTGTGAGGGCATCACAAGTCAGTCCTACCAAGAGACGACAGCCAGCCCTGTCCATCACCAGTCCATCACCAGCCCTGGCTAGACTGAGAACTCCAGGCAAGCCGCCATGACCTTCAGTAGGGACAGACACTGTCAATCAATGTGTAGTCCAGAAACCTCAATGGGAGCAGAAGGTGTCCCTTCAGGACACCTCCAAATGAAAACCTGCATTCGTAAGTCCACTAAGACATGATTTATTCCTCTCGTTCTCATTCTCCCACAGAGTAACAAAATCCACCGCGACACTTCATAGCATTACTGTACCAATGGTGGCATGTCATGGCGTTACTATTAAAGGCTAGTGACTTCTCTGCTGGTGTACTGCATTTTACAATTGCTCACTTTCTATTTCTAACACGCTAAATGTGAATAGCCATCACCCAGGTCAGCCGCAGCTCTTTCGAGTCCTCAGTAGGATTTGCAAACGCATGCGTAGGATCCTGCAATCCACAGCTCAGAAGATGGCTGCCCCTTAGCCTAACTGCTTCAGAGAGCTGGCTCTCTCCGCACTAACATGGAATCTGCTCAGCAAGTGCCATGACCCCCATCAGTCTCTTGCCCCTCTCCCATCAGAAAAAAAAAATGGCAAACCCAACAACGTATTTGCCATCAGTGACACCTTTGCAAGGGGTTCAGGCCAGGACAAAGCGGTTTCAGTTGGCTTTGCAGGCCTAACCAGAGGCTGTAGACACATACAGTTAATCACAGCACCCAGCTCTGGCCCCTTCACATACTGAGGGCGACTTGAAAATACACTGCTTCTTGGTTGCCTCTGCCCCATGGGGATGCCGCAGCTGGAGAGACCTTGAGAATCAGGCCCATAGCTTCCAGTGTAACTGCAGTTCCTCAGGGAGAAAGATGCTAAGTGTGAGGCACGGGGGCTCGTTAGGGGAATGTTAGTGACAAGAAACTCGGTTACCTCTTTTCAGCGAAAAATCAAAGTCTAAAATCTTCGATTTTCTTCTGGACTTCTGTGAAAGATTTGTCAAATTATTTTCACCAAAGGGGTCTTGGTTGTCTACCTGAAAGTGAAGGAAACATGTAAGACCCACCTACAGTAGCATGGACATCCTTCTCGTTACCCATGATGCCCTCCCCACAACCACCACTGACAGAGACGTTTGGAAAATAACCTAAATCACAGTCTCCACGTATGTTATGGTATACTCCACAGAAGAAACTGTCCACTGTCTCCACTAAGGCTACATATAAAAGGGCGTGTGTGAAATGTGAGCAGAAGGGACTGAAGCTAGGCACAAATCACGTTAGCATAACAGAGAACGATGAAAAGCCAGAGTGCAAAGCTTCTGTCTCCTGAGGCTGAGATTACAGGTGTGAGCCTCCAGCCCCGCTGGGCCTCCTTTGAACGGGACAGAGTATTCCAAAGTCAATAGATTGACCAGATCCCCCTTCCAGTCTACTGTCTAGATTCTTTTAAAACACAGTAACAGTAACTAGTCTCTTACTTAAAGTGACAGGGCATGTTCTCCTAAAACAAAGTTAGTCAACATGATCTGCAAAAGCAGGTCAAAATACTTGAAAAAGAGACTCTTCCATAGCATAAAGCTAGACTGAAATGTTGGTTTATTTTATTTTTTTCAGTGAGACAGGCTAATATACTAGCTTTTATTGTATGCCAAGAAACAGACTGATTAAGTTTTCTAATTTAAAAATTTTAAATGTGTATGAATGTTTTCTTTGCATGTATGTTCATGTACCACATACATGTGTTTGTGCCCACAGAGGCCAGAAAAGGGCATCAGATCTCCTGGAACTGGAGTTACAAATGGGAGTTGTTGAGAGGGTGCTAGGAATTGAACTTGGGTCCCCTGGAAGAACAGCCAGTGCTCTTAACTGCTGAGCCACCTCACCAGACACAAGTTCTCTACATTTTAATGCTTCAGTTAAGGATGTCTTGTGTGTGATCAGGAAATCTGACTAAAATCAAGTATGTAAGATATTCTATAAAAAGAGCCTAGCAAAATACTAAAAACTGCAATGATTTGGTAAATAATGGAATGTCAAGTCTTCACTCCCTAAGAAATCTAGCCATTTTTTTAAAAAAAGATTAATTACTCGACAGTGACAGGGACTGCATCTTATAAGCATGTATATGGAATAGAATGAACCACACTGTCTGAAATACACCAGCCACCAATACTTCTATAGAACCATATTTAGTGACAGGTGGCGACATTCCTGTCAGGCATCTTTACCAAGACCCCCAAAGAGAAGCAGCCACTTAGTATTTCTGTGTCTATGCGTAGTCCTTGTTTGTAGATTAGGTGGTCCACACTTTCTAGCCAGAAAGCTCAATTCTACCTACAAACAAATTACATATAACCATCTCAAGAGCACCTTGGCTGAGACTAACCCTACCTAGCTCACAGCCTGTATCAAATGCACACTCATCATTTCAAGTGATTTTAGGTCAAAATGTTGATCTAAAATGTCAACATTTCATCAGCTGCTAACATTCTGAGGTAAGTCACTAACTGGAATGTGGGGTAGAGATCACAAAGAGTATGAAATAACAGGAAATGTTAATTTGCATGTATCTATATACACAGAATTACAGCTTCATAGAAAACATGAAGGCTATGTATACAAATACTGAAGAAAATGAATTAAATTAATGATTTGTGGCTGATGTGTGTGTGTGTGTGTGTGTGTGTAAAACCCAGTAGCTTAAATTTTCCTAGAACACACTATGCAGCCCAGGCTATAGCTTGAAACTCATGGCAATCCTCCCGCCTCAGCCTCCCAAGTACATCACAAAAGCACATCACCATGCCTGACTTTAGATATTATTACACTAACGAGCTGATGTGTAGAGTGTCTCTATTTGATAATACAGTAATTAAACCCAAATTTTCAAGACAACTAAGAGGACCACAGTGACTAACAATCCCCACAGCTTCTCGTGACTAAGACTCAGATGCCTCTCTGGGTGAGGCCAGTCCTGCTCCCCGCCCCCCTGACATCCCGACCCTGCTCAATGTTTGGCTACTGAGCACCAATCTCACTGAGAAAGTGAAAACTGCTTCTTCTAAGCAGAAGGAGCTTCAGTCTGGATTGATGCACCTTGTCAGCCAGCCATTGACTGTCACCTTCCGTTCCTGGCAGCTCACCCTCTTCTGGGTGATGGTGAGTCATCATCTACAGGCGACATCCCCCATTAACAAATGTTCAAAGCTAAAAATGGAGTGATGGGCATTTACTGAGCAAGTGCTCCCGGAGCTGCCTTTATGGACATCCCTAACAATGGCACTAGAAAACGAAAATCATTTAAGGACGGTTATTATTCGTTTGCATTCCCTCTTCAGTAACTGCTGCCCACTTGTTTGCACGGCTCAACAGTTCTTTCTCCCACTCTTATCCATGTCCCTCACATATCAGGCTGCTCCGAAAAATCACTTTGAGCTCACATGTCTAACCACAAATGGAGGCTTCCTTTCTCCTGGGAACTTGAAGCTCTTTTTCAGCTGAGTTGGCTGGTGGAGGAGAAGACGCCTGCGGGAAGGTGGCGAGTATTCCTGGAACTGGGTGCCTTTGGCAAGTTGGTCGGGACTTTTCTCCCTTGCCTTCATCTTCTTGTTACTTGCGGGGACTCTCTGTCCAGACAGTTTCCACAAAGGCCTGTGTGGCTTACAGTTTTCTTCCTGAGAGCAGAAAACAACATCAATCAAACAGAGATTTGCTGTTCTGTTTCACTGTGTTTGTTTTTAGTTGTTTTTTGTTTTTGTTTTTGTTTTTGTTTTTTTTTTCCAGTGCTGGGAATCAAACATCTGATGATTTCAAGTGCTGGGAATTGAGCTTGCTTGCAAGGCACTCTACCTGTGAGCAATCCCTCCAGCCAAAAATATTCTTTTGATTGAAAAGGAAAAGATAATGTACTCAAGCCTATAATGTCAATTAACTGAACATTTTAAAAGTAAGATTGAAGACTGCCTCAGATTTATAAAACAAATCTTTAAAGAAAACCATTTTTCTATTTGCTCATTTAGTTATGTTACCGTTTAGGGTAGTATAATTAGCACGCATAACTTTCTAAGATCACATACTTTAAATAATAACAGGGAGTTTTGTATTTATTAGGGGGAAGTTTACCAACAGCAGATATGCACAGACAGACTCTGAGCACAGACAGACTATAGACACGGGAAGTATGAATCGCTCTATATACGTGGGTCCAACTATCTGTATACATTCAGTGCAAAGAACTGATTGAAAGGAATTAAGTGTTTCTATGTGTACAGCAATGAAAGCATTTCTAATGGTTTAGGGGGCTGTTGCGGTTTAGAGTCAGAGTCTCACCATGTAGCCAAGGCTGCCCTTCAACCTGTAGCCAGCTCCCACCTTGGCATCCCAAGTGCTAGGATTACAGGGATGTGTCACTACCACCAGCTTAAAATGGTTTTTAAAATTAAAGCTAGTTGTCTCGGGGAATAAACAACCATCTTAGCCGAAATCCCACTTAGCTCTGAGCGAGGACTCTGCCGGGCTCCTCTTTGTTCTTCCAGCTGTTCTGTTTGTTATGTCTGTTTGTGGGGCAGGGGGGCAGCTAATGGTCTCATTCTGTTTTTGACATCATCACTTGAACATCAATATACAACAAACATACTCTAACGTGACAGGCCAAGCAAACTGTCTAACTACAGAAATCAAACCTAGCAAAACCTGCCCAGCTTATTGCATGTTCAGTTTTCATTTAAATGTAGCAAAATGACTCCAGACTAACAGTCTTTAAATTAGGGTGGAGGTGGGGGGGAGGGGTTCCTGTCATTTCTTTCATCGTCCTTTCGGTTATACTTACAAAAAATCTGTTTCTCTGCGGGAACACACATTCTCGGATGGCTGTCCTTGTAGAAAACTCTAGTTTCGGAGCGATGCCCTAGAAATGAGGCAGCATAAAGAGAAGCAAAAGACATTACTAGAAACAACTCTCTTTCCCATCTCATTGTCACTGGGAATCTGCCAAGAACCCAGTGTCCCGTAGTAAGCACAATCAGAATACTTTCTTTTTTGAGACAGGATTTCTCTGTGTAATGCTGGCTGTCCTGGACTCGCTCTGTAGACCAGGCTGGCCTCGAGCTCTCAGAGATCCACCTGCCTCTGCCTCCCTGAGTGCTGGGATTACAGGCGTGTGCCACCATGCCCAGCTGAACACAATTTTTAATAGAAAATAGCACGTGCTTAACCCTTGGGTTGTGACCCCTTTGGAGGTCACATATCAGATGTATACACTGCAATTCACAACAGCAGCAAAAGTATAGTCATGAAGTAGCAATAAAATAATTTTATGGTGGGGGGGTCACCACAACACGAGACACTGTATGAAAGGGCCGCAGCAACAGGAGGGTTGAGAGCCACTGGGCTAAACGCCTGTGCAATGTATACTCCATACTAAGCTGAGGTCTAAGTGAACTTGGAATGCATACACTCACATTCCTAACACAACCCTGTGAAGTGGATCCTAATAAAATTTTCACCTGGACATGAGTGAGCTCGGACACAGTTTAAATAGCCTGTCAGGCTGGCCTTGGCAGATCTATTGACTGGACCCAGACATCTGGGTCCCAGTGTCCATGCTGCTAGCTACTCTGTCTAAAATATGGAAACATAAAAATGAGATTAGTGAGGAGGAGGAGGAGCAGGTAGAGGGTCGCCTTCATACTTGCCTTTGCGAACTTGCTTTCATCTTATGTCAAACATTTACGTTCATCAGGCCTATTCTTAAGTGTTACTTGTCTGTTTTGGTGTGGTACTTTATCATCTGAATGACTGGTGAGATACAAAGCGGAAGAAAACAACAATGGATGGAAATACAAAGAAAAAAGAGCTGGGTGGTGGCGGCACGCGCCTCTGATCCCAGCACTTGGAGGCAGAGGCAGGCAGATCTCTGAGTTTGAGACCAGCCTGGTCTGCAGAGTAAGTTCCAGGACAGCCAAGGCTGCACAGTGAAACTCTGTCTCTAAAAAACAAAAGAAAAATTCCATTAGAGTTCTATAGTGAAGAAAATAAAACTAATTGTTGATGAACTGATAAGAGACAGCAAGCAGGTAAATGGTTCGCCTGACCTTTACAGTTCACTCACTCTCATTTTCCATAGGGGTAGTAAAAACCAGGAAGAGTGAACTGCACTAAATCTAAGAGTATTAGCATCCTGCCTGTGGCTAACAGCATAAATCCAAAGCACAGAATTCCTGTCCACCACGCATACATCAGGCTCCGTGAGCCTGAGTATAGTCCCAATGTACAACACCTTCCCCTCCATGCCATGGGGAAGGAAACAGCAGTCCCTTCCCAGGGTGACAGAACATGACCATCCGTGCCGTGAGCTCAGCACACACCGTGAGCATCAACTGCTAATGAACCTCTGGCAATTGGGTCGATTTTGAATAGTGAAATGTCTCAGAGGCACTGAATCCCTCTATCTTTTTACAAATTTTCGATAGAGTTTGATATACTCAATTTCAAGAACTGATATTTTTTTCATCTGATGCACGAGGGTATTTCAATGCTTTTTTTTTTTTTTTTTTTTCTAGTTTTCTTTTTTTGAGACAGGGTTTCTCTGTAGCCTTGGCTGTCCTGGACTCACTTTGTAGACCAGACTGGCCTCAAACTTGAAGAGATCCTCCTGCCTCTGCCTCCTTGAATGCTGGGATTAAAGATGTGTATGCCATCATGCCCAGAATTCAATGCATTTTTAAAGATGATAATTGCCTCCATTTATACATAACTGCAAATAACAACTTCTTACAGGTTAGTCCTTCCATTATGCCCAGAGCATTCGACACATTGACACTTGGGAAGAAAAAAATTAGTGTTTCTCCTTGTTTTGATTTTGAAGATGGCATTTATTTAACTGGGAATTTGAGGGGGGAAGTTAATATAAGAGTTTCCTCAGCCTGGTTGCCCTTAACTTTTCTTCCCTTTGAGATTCTAAAAGGCAACATGCCAATAACGTGAAGCAAGGAAGGTGAGCATCGCACAGGAACCATGGACCTAAGTGATACATGGAGATGATGTTGAAGAAGGGGGGGGGGAAGTAGTTTAGGGATATTTGCCAGACCCTGAAAGATAATGGCGGGGGAGGGGAAGATGTTTAAAGGCACAGGCATTTGAATTCTGATTAGGACAACTTCTGATGAGTGTTTGTTTTGGAAGCACTGAAGGAATGGAGGTTCCCCTGCTAACACTCTGAAGAGTGTTCTCGGCAGAGCAGGACAGTAGCATCTCATTAAATGATAATAGCAAGACAGTGCAGAAACAGAAAGCTTAAGTATTAATTGTGATTTTTTTTTAATAATTCCTAAAGAGGTGGCCCTTCAAGTGGATGTCATCCAATAGACATAAAATGCATTTAAAAAAGAGAGCAAGAAAGAAGTGGTGGTTTCAAGGACAGAAATCACAGACCATAAAAACAAAAAGAATGCATTGAATTTGGGTTCGGTAAACGCCTCCAAACAGATTATCAGTTGACTATCTCCTGCAGCACTCGAGGTTCCTTGACGATACCAGCCTCCATCCGTTCCCCTCTGCTAAAGAGAACAGAGTATCAGCCCTGGCTAATTTGAAAATTGTTAGAGGGAGAATAGAAATGTAGAAGCTTGCTGGGCAGTACTGGCGCACACCTTTAGTTCTAGCACTCGGGAGGCAGAGGCAGGCGATCTCTGTAAATTTGAGGCCAACATGTTTTAAAGAGGTACTTCCATGACAGCCAGGGCTACACAGAGAAGGCCAACCTAAAAACAAACAAACAAACAAACAAACAGAAACTGTAGAAGGTTGAAGGCATGAAACAAATGTGAGACAATATCATTGCTGTCACTATTCTATTTGGTGATAACAGCTATGACCAAACAGATCTTTCTGTCAATCTGCAATAAGAAGTACTTGAAAGAGGAACCTTTTAGGACAGCATGTGACAACTGGATATGGCAAAGATATATCTCAGTTAGATAACAAAACTACCAGCTTTTAGATCAACAGTGGAAGTCAGAACAGTTTGGTATCAGAAGCCGGGCAGCTGACATGGATGAGAATAGAATTCAGGTAAATAAGCATGACAAAGCTACCTGCCTGAGGTCACCACTGTCAAGAATAAAATGTTCATGCCCCCAAGAACTTCTCTCCCCAAAGAAGGCTCAGTGGGGAGGGTCACTCACCGGAAAATCTACAGCTGTCTTCATGAGCACCTCCCTCTGCATGCCGAGGTGTGAGGATGTCAGCTTGGGTTCAGGGAAGAGAAAATCTCGTGTGTTTTCTTCATAGTAGGCCAACTCTTCCCATTCTAGAAGGAAAGAAGAAAAGGCATACGTAAATGTATTCCACACCCCTCAGGTTTAAGAAAATAGATGCTCAGGTGGTGTGCTGCCTCGGTTGTGCTGGACATGGAGCTGCAGCGTTTGATGTTTTCTCCTGCTGAATTTTGGTCTCACTTTGATCACTCCTTCCCATACTCTGATCCTTCCACTTTTGCAATGGGAATGTTTATTATTTTGTGCCATTCTATGTTGGAATTGTACAACTTGTTTAATTATTATTTTATAGGAACTCAGTTAAGACTGAGTCTCTGACGCAGACTTTGGACTTTTAAACTGTTGGAATTGTTCAAGACAAAGGGAACTTTTGAAGATGGATTGTGTTTTGCACTATGAGATGACCTTGAAACTTTGGAGACAAGGGATGGAAAATGATCAAAGTGGCATCTTGGGGTAAGCATGGAGATACTTAGCAGTTAAGATACCTTCCTGCTTTTCCAGAGGGCCCCAGTTTAGTTCCTGGCACTCATGTCAGATGTTCCACAACTGCCTATAACCCCAGCTCAAGAAGATAAGACCGTCCCTCTGGCCTTCACGGGAACCCACGCACCCACAGCATATATTCACACAAATACACATATATACACAAATAAAAATAATAAAAATTTAAAAGCGATGTGTTTGGAAGACTGGAGAGGTGGCTCAGCAGTTAAGAGCACTGGCTGCTCTTCTAGAAATCCTGAGTTCAATTCCCAGCAACCACACGGTGGCTCTCAACCATCTATAATGGGAGCCAAGGCCCTCTTCTGTTGTGCAGGCATACATGAAGATAGAGCACTTGTATATATATATATATAGAACATATAAACAAATAAACGTTTTGAAAAAATGTTTGGCTATCAAGTCGACTAGAGTGGAGTTGTTCATCTGTTATCAACTTAATGACACTATCTGGGAGACTGGCATCTGGTCATGCCAGAGGGTATTATGTTGGTTAGGTTGAGGTAGTAAGATTCATAGACTGTGGTTGGTTCTATTCACTGGACTAGGATCGTGGACTACATGAAAAGAAGGATGTAAGGTGAACACAAGCGTTTATTACTCTCTATTTCTTGACTGTAAATGCAACGAGACCAGCTGACCCCGTCTCAGCGACGGACGTAACCTTGAATTATAAGCCCCAATAAATCATTTCTTCCTGGGTTGCTTTTGTTAGAGATTTTATAACAGAAAAGTAGCTAAGATAAGACTAAAACGGGGATTAGTTTAACTAAAAAGAAGATTAGTTTGGAGGCTATAAAGTGTCTTAAAACTTACTCCCGAGTGTGATCATTTTTCAGAAACCCAAATCACTGCCAGTGTGGAAATGGCAGCACATAATGAGATGTTACAGAACCTGGGTGATAATGAGCATGCTCGGACTGCCTAATCTTATAGGCCAAGTAACACACCTGCCCTAACTCCAGCTCAAGAAGATAAGACAGCTGATGACACAGACAGTGCCATCATCAGTGCCATCAGTGAACAACTTCTTCCCCCAAAGGAAACAAATGACACCATACGAAAATAAAACTCTAAGGTGTGCGTGGTGGCACACACCCTCATTCCCAGCACTCAGGGAGGCAGAGGCAGGTGGATCGCTATGAGTGTGAATCCAGCCTGGTCTACAAAGCATATCCAGGACACCCAAGGCTACTACTGTCTTGAAAATAAAATAAAATAAAATAAAATAAAATAAAATAAAATAAAATAAAATAAAATAAAATAAAATAAAATAAAATAAAATAAAATTCTAGTAACAGTAGCAGTTTGAAAGCTGTGTTTCTAGAGCATGACAGCCAGCACCATGCTCCCAGATAGAGTAGCTCACTGGGTTCTCCTTGGGACTGAGAGTTTGCCACACCTGTCATGATGCCATATGGCAGTGTGGGCACTCAAAGCCAAGTCTGCAGGTGTTCCCTTACTCCCTTCTACTAATCATCGCTAACTGTGGTGGAAAACTGGCCTCGGACTCAGCACATGGAGGCTCAGGAAAGGGAGACTTTACAGCTGTGCTGAATGTACACGCCTTGCCAAAGAGAATGTAGTAAACCTTGAGCCTTAGGAGGTTGGTAAGAGAAAGCACCAAGCTCACAGTCAAATAGGATTACACTGCCCCCCTGTGTCCGTCACTTTTTCACTCCTGTGTAAACTGAAGAACCAGAGGGGGGGTCTTCCCTTACCGAGAGGGAAGTAGCTGGCTCTCTTTATTTTCTGCAGTAAGCTATGCGCAAATCGGAGCATCTCCGCTCTCTCCTAACCTGATGGTCAGCTGTCCTTTGTATGTCTGAAGCTGCTGTGAGAACTAGCAAACAAGAGTATACTCACTGCAGCAAACCAGAGTGAGCACAGGCCAGCTGTAAAAGAACCGCTCTCTAAGAACCAAAACGGTCCACACGACCGTACACGAGACTTTAAGCAAGTTACTTTCAGTACCAAGGACCACTGCGGCTGACCTATGACGCGTTGGCGTAATTAACTGATTTATTTGCACAGTGTCTGACACTGAGTGAAATTGCTGTTTTCAGTAACTCAAACTGAGTGCCACTAAAATGACAATCTGAAATTGGGGGGCTGTGAACGCAAAGGAAGCAGAATAAGGCTCCCATTTGGCATATGAATAACTAGTGAGTTACTAACAGTATGCACGCTGTTGGCTCAAATATTCCCCAGTTGTCATTTTTAAACAACTATTCTTATAACCTCACAGATAGATATCTGGTCACATGAAAGACATGTAAATCTTAGCATTCAACACGGTGAGACAGGAGGATTATGAGTTCAAAGTCAACCTAGGCTTGACTAAAAGAAATGTAATAGTCCAAAACACATAAGATTCTATAATGTACACATAGTAGCCTATGAATAGTACAGATAATTGTATATAGGGGCTGTGTATGTTATGTTAGAGTTAGGTATATATGACAATACATTACACAATAAGTGTATTTTTTTTAAAGTCTGAAAAATACACACAGCAAACTGTTATAAAATATCTGTCAGGAATTGTTAATGAATGGGTTCTTTTTACTTTTAGTCCATATAATCATGTGTTAGTTGAAATTTTTACAATATTTAGATATTGGGTTTTTTTAATTAGTACAAAATTAATTAATACCAAAATAAACATGACCCTATTTTATTAACATAAAATGTAACTTGCCAGTTCACAGGGTTATATGTTTAAACATAAAATTGGGTTAAGCAAGAAAAAGCTTATGGAAAAAAACCTCAATGGCCTGGTTTTAGCCGGTCATTTTCTTTCTTTCTAAAAAAAAAAAAAAAAAAAAAACATTCACTGAAAATTTCTGAACAGCAGATACAGCAGATAGGAGGCATTGCTCTGTATTGTCTACCAAAACAAGTAATTCTTGAATGGATAGACTCATGCTATAATATTCAAGTAACTATCCCTAGATTCACACCATAATCTGTAGATCAACACTGGTATCTAAGTGTCCTGTGTATTCCTAGAGTGACACCGTAACCTTACCTCAAACTGTGTACATCTATGGATATCTAAATTCACACAGTAGCATGTAGCGTTCAACCATATATCCACACCACAAATTCAAGAATTTATTTCTGATTCACACTGTAGTATTTGTATGTCTATACCTGAACATCTGGGTGCATGTTCAGAGCACTTACACCGACATTCATACCATAAGATTCAAACCACAATATTCGAGCTTCTATGTACAGACTCTGACCATAATATTCAAGTGCCTATCCCTAGTTCATACTGTAATATCCAAGTGGTGATCACTGGATTCACACTGCAGTAATTTGAGCACTTATCCTTATAGTCTCAGAGTGCAGAGTTCTTATCTATGTCCAGGGTTACCTTTGCTAAAGAACCAGAAAGCAGATGCCTAGCTGTACACCCCTCTCTTGGGCCCCTGGCCTGCCCCAGGGATATCCAATTATGAGTAGGTCCACAGCCTTTATGCACACCTTTAATCCCAGCACTCTGGAGGCAGAGTCAAGCGGATCTCTGAGTTCAATGCCAGCTTGTTCTACTGAGTCAGTTCTAGGAGAGCCAAAGCAAAACAGAGAAACCCTGCTTAAAAAAGAAAAGAAACACACAAACAAACAAAATGACCATGACCAGAAGGAAAAAACAAAACAAAACAAAAATAAACCATGATATGGGAAAAATTGAAACTGTTAAGAAGAAAAAAATAAACTTAGGATTACACATCAGATCTTAAAAATAAGGGGTCATAAAATATGATAAACCATATCTAAACAAATTAATATACAAGTCAAAAGTCATAAATTCAAATGATAATGCCCAGCTTAGTCAAGACAGGAGGAACAGGTACCCTATCCTCTGCTGAATACAGTATTAGTGGCGCCTTACTGGGAAGCAGTTTGTCCCAGGCTCACAAGGCACAATTCAGTCTGGGAATTCTAGTCTATAAATACACTAAGAAAGGAAAGAAAAACAATTTGCCAGGTTATGTGAAAGACAAAGAGAGCATAAATAACAATTTAATGACAATAATACTATGGAAATAGATAGCTATTGAAAATGACAAATACATTAACTATAGACCCAAGGTAAAAACCAAAACCCCGAAATACTATGTAAGTACATAGTCCATAGCCTGTGAAGACACACAATGTTATGAGATTGCATGCTTGTAATCGTAGCTGCTTGGGAGAATGAGGCAGGGAAATTATGAGCTCAGGTCTGCCTGAGCGATTTGGGGAGACTTTACCTCAAAATTAGAACCATTTTTTTTAAAGTTAGGAGTATAGCTCAATGGCACAGTGCTTGACATGTCTGAGACCCTGGTTCAGTCCTCAGAAACACACACACACACACACACGCAAATAGATGAAACTCTTTATACCTATCAAAGATGACAATATACAGTATATTATCAGAAATTATTCAGTCATAAAGAAAACTGAAATCCTATCCCCATTCTTTCATGCTAAAGGCCTTCAAGATGAAATTGTTAGTTTGGAAGTGTGTTTTGCTAGCATATTACCTGGAGACGATAGCTGTATTAATTCAAATCTGGTTAGGAAGTCTAAAAAAGAAAAAAAAATGATTACTATTTTCAGAAAATTGTCTTAATAGCTGCTAAACTAAAACTACCATATCTCATTTATATTATTGGTAACAACAGTATATTTGCCTTCTGTTGTCACAGTTTCCCTATGTACAGATTCTACAACCATCTTCAACCAACAACAGACAGAAAACATTTAAAAAGCAATTGCATCTGTACTAACATGCGTGTTCTTTTCTCATTATGCTTTAAACAATGAAGAACAACGACTTTGTTCAGCTTCTACAGTATACAATTATAGAAATAATCCAAATTATGTGGGCTATAGACATGCACGTGTATGCGTGCACACACTCATTCACACATGGCTTATAAGCAAGTCCTACAGCATTTTACTTATGGTCCTTGATCACCTGTGTGTTTTGGTGTGTTTTGTAAAGGTCCTGGAGCAATTTTCTCAAGGAGACCAAAAACACCAAACAACAAGTATAATTTAAAATCAATGCCATGGCAACAACAAAACAGGTTTGGATAAAGTGAGGAAGGAGAGCGAAGAAGGCTGAGCTACAAAATTTGCATTTTACTTCCTAGAAAGTGTGGAGTATTTTGTCTCTTAAAGGTATGTTCAGGGCTGAAGAGGTGGCTCCCTGTCAAGAGAGCACATTGCTCTTGCAGAGGACCCAAGTCCTGTTCTCAGCTCCCATGTCAGGCAGCTAATGGGAGCCTGTAACTCCAATCTCCTCTACAGCCTTTGTGGGCACCTCTGCACACACATGGCACATAAACACAGGTAAATAAAAGGACGTATATTCATAGAGTACTATAAGAGCAATGTGCCTTTTATTTTAAAGCCTGAACAGCCAATTATTATTCATCAATGGAAGAGTTTAGCTTGCCTGAGAAGCATGCTTTATGAGTACATGCCTGTGACACAAAATATATTTGACTCTGTTCCTTGAGTTTAACATGGTTTTAAAGAGGCCATCGACAACATCTATAAAGACAAAACTGAAGTTTAACTCTTGGGCCAGGAGGGATGATTCAGCAGGATGAAGCATATGTCAGTCAAGCCTGATGAGTTGAGTTAAATCCCAAGGTCCCACAGAAGCAGCAGATTACCAGCTAAAGGGTATCCTTTGACTTCTACATGTGTACTCACACTCACATATCACACACACACACATACACACACACACACACACACACACACACTGTGGAATGCACATGCTCACACATTCATCACACATATAACAACAACAGTTTTAAAATACTGAAGAAAAAAAACTGAAGAAGAAACTAGAAGATGAAAAGACCGCCCATGCTCACACAGATTGGCAGAATATAGTGGAAATCACTATAACAAATTATGATCTGCAGGTTCAGCTCAATTGCGATCAAAATTCCAAAGACATTCTTCACAGAACTATTCAAATGGAAGTGTGTGTGCACGTAGGTGCACATAAAAACATACAATACCGAGAGTAATCCTGAGCAGAAAGAACACTGGTAGGGATACCACAAAGCCTGATTCAAGTCATACCACAGAGCTACAGTAACAAAACATGGTGTTGACAGAAAAAGTCATATCAAACAATACGATAGAACGGAGTATCCAGGAATAAGCCACAGTTACAACCACCTGGGTTTTTAGAAAGATGTCAAAAATATATACTGAAGAAGACACTCTTCAACAAACGGTGCTGCCAAAACTAGAGAGCCACAGATAGAGAATGGAGCTATATTCTTACCTCCTGTCCTATGCAAAATGCAATTGTTAGAAAGAGACCAAAGATCTTACTATGAGGCTGAGGCTGTAAGGGAAAAACACAAGATACAGGTAAAGACAAGGAGTTTCTGAAAATGACTCCAACAGTGTAAGAACGGACAGACGAATTGCCTGAAATTAAGTCTTCTGTATAGCAAAGGAAATAATCAAATGAAAAGACCTAAAATAATTAAATAAAATAATCAAGTGAAGAGAAAGGTTCATTAGCTATATATCTGGCAAAGAATTAAGATCCAGAATGTATAAAGAACTTCAAAAACTTACCACCAAAAGTAAAACAACCTAATCAACAAACGGGCTGACGAAAGGAATACACAATAGTCAAAGACAAAGTACAAATGAGCAATAAGTATATGAGAAAGGGCAGTGTGGTGGCACATACCTATAACCCAGCATTTAGAGGTAGAGACAGGGGAATCAGGAGGCAAGGCCATCCTCAGCAACATAGTGAGGCCAAGCTGACCCACATGAGACCCACATAACTCACAAGACCCACATAAAAATGGAGGAAAAAAATTCAACATCCTTTGGCATGAAGAGAACCCAAATTGAAACTACAAGAAAATCCATATCACCCTAGTCAAATTAGATGTCAAGAAAATACAAAATGTTGGTAAGAAATCTGGAAAGTGGGGGCCATTATACATTGCTGGTATGTATAATGTGAACTAGTCCAGTCAGTACAGAGATTTCTCAAAACACTAAAAAGGAAGTATCATATGGCCCAGCTATATTGCTTCTTGGTCTATATGCTCAAAGAACTCAGGGCAAAATACTACCCAAGATACCTGCACCAAGATACTACAGCACTATTCACACCAGCCATAGAATCAGCTTAGCGGACCCTCAACAGATGAAGAAAACACAATGGAGAATTATTCATACTATCTTGGTTACCTTCCTATTGCTATGACAGCACACCCTGACCAAGGTGACTTATAAAAGAAAACAGTTGAAGAGGGTTAGAGTCCATGGCCATCATGGCTGGGAGCAAAGCAGCAGGCAGGCACAGTGCTGGAGCAGTAACTGAGAGTCTACATCCTTACCCGCAAGGATGATGCAGAGGAAGAGGAAAAGCCCACCCGCAGTGACACATCTTGTCAACGGGCCATAACATCTAATCCTTTTCAGGTAGTTCCACCAACAGGGGAACAAGTATTCAAGTATAAAAGCCCATTCAAATATATGTCTATTCTCATCCAAACCACTGCACACGCAAAGAAAAATAAACCTAAGTTACTAGCCGTAGAAAAGAGATGCCGTGTAAATCATCATATTAAGTAAAAGTCAGACAGACGAATATTAGATATTTTCTCTCATTTAAAAGGCTTAGGTTTCTTTATAAAGAACACTCATAACTCGGTTTTAGAGAGAGACCATCCGATTCAAAAGTAGGAAGATAATACAGGTATAGCATTTCTCTAAAGGACACTCAACATCATTAGCTATTGGGGACATGCAAAACAATGATGAGAATGCACTTCAGACCCAAGGGCTTCAGCCTATCAAAATGAGAGAGAGAAACAAGTGTTGGCCAAAACCTAGGGGGAAAAGAAAGAAAGCTCCAGGCACTGCTGGCTTAATGCAAAACGAGTTAGCTGCTCTGGTAAGTAGTGTGGGAGGCCTAAAAAGTTATTAAACATATTGTAAGTTACTGTGATCCAGCAATCTCACTTATATGAGTGTTTGTATATGTTTGCATGTATGTATATATGTGTGTATGTGCGTGTCTATGTCCAAGAAAATTGAGAACACATTTCCACATAAAAACCTATATATAAGTATTCGCAATATCATTATTTACCATAGTCTAAAGAACAGAAGCAACCTAAATGCCCATTAATTGATGACTAGAAGAACAAAATGTGGTGAACAGAATGTTAAAGAATGAGGTATTGGCAAATTCTATAACATAAATGAACTTTAAAAACATTATGCTAAGCGAAAGAAGCCAATCACAGAGGACCATATACTGTATAGTCTCCTTCATGTGAGATATCCAAAATAAGCATGTCTCTGCTAACTGAGCATGGTGGTACACACTAACTCCCGCACTGGGAAGACAGAAAGGAGAGAGAGACTGGCATTTTGCATTTGATAGGATACTATAATAGGGGAATAGGTAGTAGCTGCTAGTAGGTATAGAGTTTCTTTTTGTGGCCTTGAAATGTTCTAATCAGATGATCTAATTGATTGTTGTAACGAAATCCAATTACTGTTTATAATAACCAAACAGAATAATGTCATTCAGAAAAACCATATCTAAGGCTAGATGTGGTGGCACACTTCTTTAATCCCAGCACTCAGGAGGCAGAGGCAGGCAGATCTCTGTGAAGTCGAGGCCAGCCTGGTCTACAAAGGAAGTCCAGGACAGCCAGGGCTACACAGAGTAACCCTGTCTCAAAAAAAGAAAAAAAGAAAAATCCTATCTATAATATAAAATTTTGTTGTGATTTGTTTTTCAAGACAATGTCTCATATTGCCCAAGCCAGCCTCCATCTAGATATATTATCAAGGTTAACCGTGAACTCCTGATCCTCTTGCCTCTGCCTTCTAAGTACTGGACTTAGAGTCATTCACCACCACACTGGGTTTCATATCAATCTTGAGAAAACAAATTTATGAAATTAAAAATAATGACTCAAGGTAGGTGTGATGGGTGGTCAGGTGGCTCAGGGGGTACAGACATACAAGCCTAAGGACCTGGGTTCTACCTCAAGAACTCATGATAGAAGGAGGGAACCAACTCACCAGCGTTGTCCTCTGTCTCAAGCACGCCTTGCACAGTAACACTGGTATTCATAGACACACAATAACAATAATAATAACAATAATAATAATTTAAAAGTTTGGTTGATAACATAAGCCTATAATTCCTGTACGCTGGACAGTGGGGGCAGGAGGAAAAAGTTCAAGGCCAGCCTAAACTACATAGCAAGATTATCTCTCTAAAACTGAATCAAACAACAAATAAATCATGGACCAAATTTCACCATAGAATTTTTTCCTAAATGTAAATCTTGATCAAATAGAAATATCACACTTGGAAGCAGCAACATTCTGTGTCTGTGCATTACACATGTCTTTTTGTTTTGTTTTGTTTTGTTTTCCTCCTAAGTACCTACTTTCTAAAAGTTCTGCAACAGCTCCAGGATCTACTGCATTTTCAAACACCTACAGAGAACAGGGAAAAGAGATTTTCAAAGTTATACTAAAAGGTTTTTTTAGAACCTGTAGTTTATGTTCTTCCAATTCATTAGCATATATAAAAATCAAGCCATATAATATTTTAGGATTCAACAGGAACATTTTTTAAGCAGCATGTGGAAAAGAGTACAACGAATACATGTAGCACAGATGAAATATAATTGCCAGAATGGTAAGTGCAAAGAAATGTGAGTTAGCTAAATCTATCGCGCGCTTAAAATGCCATCAGTTTGACCTACTCTCCAACCTTGCATCTTGCATCAACCTGTCTGGAGTGCACAGAAAAGCATTCTGTATACAGCAGGTGTTCATCAAGTGTTAACCAACCAGATGACTCCTCTGCCCACGCAACTGGTTGTGCTAAACAGGAAGACAAATAGAAATTTTACCCATATGTAACATCAAAGGCGAGTCGTGGCCAGAGTGTGACTCTATCATCAAGCACAGGATACACATGACTTTCTCTCCTTTAACATTGCCAGATGTACATACTTTGTTCTTGAAACAGAACATTCTGAGTCGACACTGAGACAGAACAGGCCTCCAGGACCTTGCAAAACCAAAAGGTTTTCAATAGTTCCTCAGTCATACCGTTAGCCTTTAAACTTCTGGTTTAAACATTTGAAGTTAAGCATGGTTCAAATTCTGCCTGAGGCTTCAGAACTAGGTCTCCTTTTGAAGGCAAAAGTGGACATTGTTTTGCTGGCTTGCATTTCCTAAGTAAATGTGGGTAACATTTTTTCTAAGCTATTTCAATACATCCTTCCATTTCTCACTGTTATCAGTTGAACTGTGTTCCTGTCAAAATTCACAGGTTGATTCCTAACCCTAGTATCTCAGAATATGACCTTACTTCCAAATAGGGTCAATATAAACATGCCTAGTTAAAATCTGAATGAGGTCCTACAGTAGGTTGGGCACCCAACACGATTAGTGCCTTTTTTTCTTTTAAGTGAGTATTTGAGTACCAAAAAACAAAAAAACAAACAAACAAACAAACAAACAAACATGTTTTTAAAGTTAAAAATAAAATTCATTTACGAGTGTTGAGGGAAAAATTCATGAACCATATAGCACTCAGAAGGAGCACTATTACAAACCAGGAACAAAGTTTTCTCTTCTGTCATGCAAAGCCAGGAAAGCAAATGTAGTTGAATGGTTAGAGTGCAGACCCAGCATAGATCACCTGGCATTTCTGATTGGTGAAGTGTCTGCTCTTATTTGCCAGTCCACACGTTTCCTTTTGACTTAAAGAACTGGAGCACCTCTGGCCTAGTTCCCAGAATGTTTTTTAACTCTGTGTGCATTATAGAGAATAAATGGTTATATGGTACATATTGGAGTTATAATGCTATAAACTGCTGGGTCTCAGCCTTCGTAAGGCTGTGACCCTTTAATACAGTTGCTCATGTTGTGGTGACCTCAAACCATAACACTGTCATTGCTCCTTCATAACTGTAACCTTGCTAATATCTGTGTTTTCAAATGGTCTTGGATGACTCCTGTGAAAGGATTGTTGAAACCCTCACAGATTGAGAACCACTGCTATAAACCAAAGACCTAGCCTTCCATCATACCTCAGTAACTACCAAGGCCCTACCAACATTCTGCTCCGACTTCTGCCCTCCAGTGCTATGAGACAGTAAGTGTGTTGTTGCTTGTGGGTTACTGCTATCTGCCAGCTCTAAGAATCCAGAAAATCTATATGTAAGGATTTTCTTAATCTTGGGGAAATGGGACTGACTGATTTTGGGGAGCAAATGGTCAGCTTGGTCTATCCAAACACAATGGCTCATGGAGTTTTACAAATAACTTGTATACCCAAACGCTTTTAAGTTATTCAAATCTAAGTCATATAATGAGCTATGGGGAAAGAAAATGCTTTTGCTACTGCTACATGTATCTTCAGCTACAGAATGGAATAGATTGCAAGAAACCTGCAAGTAAGAGAACCTAGAAGATGAGCCTAAACAACTCATTTTGTTTTAGAAAGAGACAAAAAAGTGGTTCCATGGTATGCTTAATTAGTAATCTCAAGCCAATGGCTTTTCTACACAGCTGAAGAGAAGCAATAAAGTGTGAGTCTCAGACATTCTCCTTTAAAAAACAAAACAAAACAAAACAAAACAAAACAAAAAAACCCTAAGGTTGGATTAGGTCAATTTCTCAAGGTGATTCATGGATGTATCATTCCATGCTTGCACATTTTTGCCTTTTGAAAAAGTATCCTAGAAAAAAAAAAGTATCCTAGAAGTCTTCTGTAGGGCTAGAAACTGATGAATGGGGAAAATGTTGGGGGGAGGGCACTTCAGTTTCAACACTTACTTTTCATCACACCCATCACCTATATTCAGCCAGTAGAATCATCTGGGCTCTGACTGTGTCTTCCAGGATAACTATTTGCTCTTCTACCCAATCAGATTGACATATTTTAATATGTCAATCTATTTCAATGAATAGGCTGTGATTTTTAAAGATGTTACAATCAATCTTCATCCTTTCTCCCATCCGTGGGTCAAAAGAGATGGGTGGGCACCAGCTTCCAGACCTTTGGAAGTAATGTGGCACAGTCTTCCCTCTGTCCCCAAAGTCCACCTCTGTGACACCGTTTGGGCAAAATTAGACTCACTAAAGACAACTACAATTTCAAATCCAATTCCAAAACCTTATGGTGTTGGTGGTGATTACAAAGCAATGAACAGTCTACAGTTTACTGTGGTGGGAAGCGGTGGCCAGTGTTTTGACTGTATTTTTTTTAAACCACGACCGCATTCACTAGACTGGAATCTAGCCCTTACTACTTCTGTTTTATAAGACGTGTATGACTTAAGAAAACAGAAAATATGAACGGCTTTCTTGTTTAGTTATGGGACTTCTGTTACCAAGTTTGACTGATTTGGTTATAGTTGTTAAAATATTTTTCTGGGTTAAAGAAAGTTTTCCCTAAGGTCTGCAGTTTATTAATAGCCCCTTTCATAAATGTAATGCAACTGTCTCTAACACCTCCAAGAACATTCAGAAACGCTCTCTGCTCCAGTTAGAAAATGCCATGGGAGTTCCAAGAATAGAAAGCATCCACTAGGGCATTTTAACACTCGATTGACAGAACTTGGCTCAGGCGTGCACAGCAAAAGTCTTTCAAACTGTCGTTTTTTGCCTCAAGACCGCTTGTACTTTTACACTGTGTTGAACTGCCTTAAGGTTACTTTTTAAAAGGGGGGGGGGGGGAATGTGCAAAGCCACGATTCTTTATAATAACTATTAAACTAGCTTCAGACAGCAAAAACTCACTGAGAAATCAAGATCACCTTTTCAAATCTCATGTTCTGTTGAATCGCAATAGGGAACACAGAGGGAAAGCAGTCTGTCTCCAGGTACTGATTCAGGAGGTAGACTCCAAGGTACACATCTTCCTTGACCGGCAAGAACACTCCCGGGCAAGAAATCTTTAAAAGAAGAGGACGACAATCAGGGTTTGTTTTTGTGCAACGGGGCCGTTTCTCTTCTAGCCTCCCACAGCTCTGAAATGACCCCCATCGCTGCATCCTTCACCGGCACCTCCAGGCACCAGCACCCTCCCACCTCTTCTCAAGCTGGATGTCCCGGTTCCCTCCCACGTTTCCGCCAGGTGTCACAATCGCGCTGTGCGGCGCCTCGGCCCGCCCTCCGGGATGGCAGTGCGGAAGCGGAAGAGGCTGCCGGGCCGGGAAGCCTCTCTCCTGTGTGGCCGGGTCCCCGGGACGGGCCGCCCGCCGCGATGCCGAGCCCCCGGAGGACCATCGAGGGACGGCCGCTGGGCGCCTCGGGCGGGAGCAGCGTCCCGGGCAGCCCGGCCCACGGCGGCGGCGGCGGCGGCAGGTTCGAGTTCCAGTCGCTGCTGAGCTCCCGCGCCGGCGCGGATCCCGCCTGCGCCCGGCTGCGAGCGTCCGACAGCCCGGTGCACCGGCGCTGCTCCTTCCCGCTGGCCGCCGCGGGCCCCGCGCAAGTGGCCCCGGCCCCGCCGCCCGAGGACGACCGCATGAACTTGAACCCGTCCTTCCTGGGCATCGCCCTGCGCTCCCTGCTGGCCATCGACCTGTGGCTGTCCAAGAAGCTGGGCGTGTGTGCCGGGGAGAGCTCGGCCTGGGGCAGCGTGCGGCCCCTGATGAAGCTGCTGGAGATCTCGGGCCACGGCATCCCCTGGCTGCTGGGCACCCTCTACTGCCTGCTTAGGAGCGACAGCTGGGCCGGGCGCGAAGTGCTGATGAACCTGATCTTCGCCCTGCTGCTGGACCTGCTGCTGGTGGCTGTCATTAAAGGGCTGGTCCGCAGGCGCCGACCGGCCCACAATCAGATGGACATGTTTTTCACCCTCTCGGTGGACAAGTACTCCTTTCCCTCGGGCCATGCCACGAGGGCCGCCCTGGTGTCGCGGTTCATCCTGAACCACCTGGTACTGGCCATTCCACTGAGGGTGCTGGTGGTACTGTGGGCCTTCGTCTTAGGTCTCTCCAGGGTCATGCTTGGGCGGCACAACGTCACTGATGTGGCTTTTGGCTTTTTTCTGGGCTACATGCAGTACAGCATTGTGGATTATTGCTGGCTGTCACCCCACAATGTTCCGGTCCTTTTTGTACTGTGGAATCAACAGTGACACCATCTCATTGATTGTTGGCACCAGGAGGTCTGAAGGTTTCCACGTTCGAGGATTCTGACCTAAGCCAGAGCCATCCAGTTGCCCCTCAGACATTTCAGGCACCTTTGGGAATTCTGGAATCCCACTGCCTCGACATGTTCCTAGGCCGGAGCAAATGCTGCCTGTTACTGAACACAGCCATACCAGAGAAAGAAAGTTTATTCTGTATGTATTCACAGCTGTTTTATCAGGAAGACAACTGCAGAGAAATCAAGCTGGCTGATTATATGATTGCTATTTATTTAAAGTTGACAGTGTTAATTAGAAACACCCCCCCCAAAAAAAAAACATTGTTATCACTTGTAAACTGAATTTTAAGAGACGTGAACTTCCAGATAAACCATGTGCTATTCCCACCCTTTCTCTGCGGCAGATGTTAAACGGTATTTTTAAAGTTTAAGGCAGATTTTCCCGGTTAACTCTGAACATGTGTTGCCATAATGGAAGCTTTTTCCTTATCCTGATTCCTTAAGATCCTCCCTCTGTGGGTCAGGTTGTGTGAGAAGAGGGTATACACAGTCCTTGCCTTTCTTCTCCCTGTACCTCTCAAAAGGTCTTTAGAGAGTTACTTTCCACTACTCTTTAACAGTGTCTTTTGGCATTCATAGAACAAAGCAAGACGTTGAAGAAGACATACTCAAAAAAGTGGGCTTGTCTAAGGTTCCCATAGAAATGTAAGTATGAGACTACTCATTCATTCCCTAATTCTGTTGACAGCCAGAAGCAATGCATACCAGGGGTCCACGAAGCTGAGCTGCTGGGGAAATCGGGGGCGCTCAGTAGTCTGGAAGCAGGCAGAGCACAGACACCAATGGCCAGGGGCAGGAGGCGAAGCCCTGCTGCTTATCATCTGCGGAACAGAGCAAATGGTCCTCTGCTAAGTAAAAAATGGGAAGGCGATGCGATTCTCTTCAGTGCGCCTGCATAGGTTTCTGTGTGTCCCACAAGGATGACGGTAGGCTGTCATCCTCATTTCAGTTCCTCTTGGAGGCATCGAGCACATTTTAGGTAACAGTACTTAGCTAGAAATTCTTCAGGACAGCCTGCTGCCCTGCGTGAGCGCTGGGTCTGACTCCTAAATTTCTGTTTACATTGAAAGCTGTTCGTTCATGGTGCCTCCCCCAGTTATAAGACCAAAGATGACCAAATAATGTGGTAGCCTCTGATTACTGTCTGACCTAGAACGACCAAACAGCATATTGCTGTAAATCTGTAAATGCTGCTGTGTCTGGGAAGAAAGCCTTTAAGTAACCTGTGGAAGTGATGTCATCAGATCATCTTAATGGCCAGTTGTTCTGACATTTATAAATAGAAGGGACTGTGGGCTATGATGTAACGTTCAAGGATGTAGATGGACAGGACTGTGGAGTAAGGCCGCGATAAATAGGTTCTCACTGGGTAGAAGCAGGATCTTTGAGAGTAGGGGTCAGGCACACCAAGAGGAACAGCTCCTTTGACAAATAAAATGAGCATTGCATTCCCACACACCCTTAACACTGACTACCTCTTCGCTTACTAGATCTGCCCAGCTGTGAGGTTCTAAGTGGTCTGAGTGTGTTGTTTAAACTTTCAGAGATCAGTTTTAATTAGAACATTTAAGCCTGACATTTCAAAGTGGCAGTGTTTGCTCTTACAGTGTCCCCAAGTCGGATAACTGAGGGCCTCGCTTCTAGTTTCTTCTTAGAAACTAGAATTCTCTGGAATTCCTTATTTTGATTGCTGGGGCCTGAGTTTGCTAGTTTTTAAAGTATAGATCAGATCAATTTACACAACTTCATGAGTAATCCTAAATTCTCTAGAGTAAAAAAAAAAAAAAAAAAAAAAACCCAAACAATTTGTTAATCACTTGTATACTGTGAAGGATGCCTTTTAAAAAATCAAAATAAATTAACTGGTAATGTTGAATGACACGTGATGAAATCTTTTTTCTGCCTCACTGGGCTTCTTGGGATTCCTTCCTTTTCCTGGGCACTTGAAATTGATAACAGCCCAACTGATAACTGTCAGCAAAAATGGAACCAAAACCCAGGGCCCTTTGACTTTCCTTTCACCTCTGCATGCTCAGTGAGTTTGCTGGTTGTCTGACATCTAGCTGAATTCCCATACGGTGCCCGATTCACATTCAACTATGGCCTAAGCCCCTGGAACGGGGAGGCCAGGCTCGATGCCGGTCTCGTCCTTCCTTCCTTGTAAGTGGGAGGGTGGGAGCGTGAAACAAGAGGGGTGAGTGACTCCCAGAGAAGCGCAGAGGCACCATGCGTGGCCCTGCACCTCAGTTTAGAAGGAGGTGGATTATTACAAAGCTTTTATTGTCAGGTTGAGCTCCCTGTTGAAGTTAGCAACCCAAAGCTGACGTAAACAGCTTTGATTCCTAGAGGCAGAACATTAGCAAAAGTGGAGCTTTAAAAATTATATATTCTTTGGTTACTTAAAAAAAATTTTTTTTTTCAAATCCTTTCACAAAGTTTTTATCTTTAAATCGAAAATCCTACCCGAACCCAAGTCAGGATTGTTTTGAAGAAGCTAAGGGGCATGTTGGTTTTGGAAAAAAGGATAAAAAACGGAACAGATTGAACTGAATTAAAGCCTGAAGAGGTCCAAGGGAGACAAATGTGCAGAATCTTTGGGATAGGTTGCCCTTCTGTCCAAAAAAGCCATGGCAAAAGTGATGTATGTGGAGTAAGCGGAGGAGATGGAGAACATGGGGTTAACGAGGCCGGCTCGCAGGTGTCTTACCGCCCGGATTTGGAGCTCCACCACCACCTCCAGAGGCATCCTTCCCTGTGTGGCCGAACGAAAGATCCTTTTCTGCTGAGCCGTGAACCGATTATTTCTTAGTTTTCATCAAGGTGAGTGTTTTCCAGAAGCTTCCCTGACACAACCCCCCATCCTTTTGTTTCCCCCTCAGTCCCCAAGCCCAGGTCCCTCCCACTGTGACGGGAACCTCAGCACCGAGCTCTGGAGTGTAAGCTTCCAGAAGGCGGAAGCATCAGGTTGCTAAGGACTCTCAAAGGCTCAACCTTCTTCGCTGGAACTCTTGAGAGGCCAAGGAGGCGCAGGCGCGCTTACGCTCTGCTGGCAATCTGAGGTGTTGTCAGCCTCCCTGGTGGTGGCTAGGCCCAGTGACTGTCTAAGGGCCTTGGGAACCTGTCAGCAGATGCCAAGAGTTGTTTGGGTTTTTGTTGTTATTTTTTTTTTTTTCTGTCTTTCCCCTGGACACTCTATGGCCCCAGTTATTGTGCTCAAATGTTTAACAGTTTCTATCCCAAAGCGGAATGAACTCATAGCTATGTCCTGTGACCATTTCTATTTAGCATAGTTACCTGTTCCCTAAGGGACTGCCTTATTATTAAATGTCTCCTTCTTTGCCCCAGAAATCATGCTCACCGTCAATAAGGAATTGAATAGTGTACTGACTACAAGTAGGTCACTTCTAAAGAGACTTAAGTTAGGAATCTCAGGTCTACGGATAAAATGGTCAGCTCCTCTTCACTGCACTTGTCGGCCTTCCCGAGCAGTTTAAGGCAAGCATTGAATTGCACTGTCTCCCAGGGGCTAGCTGTTGGATTTGCCAAAGCAGCAGTTACACTATAAACCAAGTGACGGCAGAGTAAGCGTTCTTCACTGACAAGAGAAATGACATTTTCCCATTATATATGATTTTAAAACAACTGCAGACAGGAGGGGAATGTAGCTGTTTTTAGCCAATCCAAAATTTTCTGGAAGGCCAACATTTAAAAAAAATAAGTAAATACATAAATAGTCATTAAAATTAGGGCTGGGCCGTGTGGTTGAGTTAGTAGTGTTTGCCTAGTACTCATCAAAACTCTCTTTGACTCTTGTCTGCATTCCTAGCACTGGAGAGGTAAGGCAAGAGAACCAGAAATTCAGAATAAGCTAAATATCTAATGAGTGTTAGGTCAGCCTGGACTACTTGAAACCCTGCCTCAGTAAAACAGAATTTAAAAAAATTATCTTGTGACTTATTGATAGCTTACATGGGGAATCTCTGTAGTTGGAGATGGTAAAGGAAGATGTCCCTAAAAGCTATACCGCTGAACATATTCCCTTCAGTAGCTATAGTTCATTTCTCTGTGAAGGAAACCACAGTGTGATGAAGACTTCAGCACTACAGTATGCCCAGTTCCTAATCTCTCTGTGCACAATGACATACGGAGGCGGGTGCCCAGCTCTCAAATGACAGAGCACAGATATGTCACAACAGCTGGCTGGTATAAGACCTGTGATAATCTTCACACGGATATCACCGATGATAGTACTAACACTGTGTCAAATTTATAGTTAAGTTTCTAGAGGTAAAGTAGGAGGGAGGAATCCATTCTCTTTGAAGGTCTAACAAAGAGGTGGGCACGTTGCGTGTGGTTGTTTCACGGCCACAGTCATTCTTTGAGGAAGATGTTCTATGTATTTTACAGTTTCGGGCTCTGAGGCCAAACAGCCTTTACCCCAAGGCTACATAACCAGCCAGAACACTCATATCGAAGTCCAGGGGCCCTCCACCTCACTGCCTCCACAACACAGAGTTGTTATTGGTCCCTGAAAACACTGTCCCATCTGCAGCTCCTTGTTTCTGAGTCTGTCAACCTCTTGATATTATCAGACTCTGTTGATATTGCTAGCCTCAATGGAACAGAAGAACCCCGAATTCTGAGTTCCCTTCGACTATCTAGCCACTCTGTGTTTTCTCTCCTTTACCTGGCAAAGTAGTATTTTTAGACCCCTGTTTAACTCACTGTCCTTTATCTAGGTGACACTCAGTATAAACAGTGATAATCACATCTACAGAAGTTTACACATGCCACCCAGATCTTTCTTTAGCTCTCTAGGATTATTTTTTTCCCCACAATGGTCATTTCAGATTCCCAGATGCCACACATATATGGAAGTTGCTACGTGCATAATGTCTGAAAACACAAGTTTGCAAATTATTTAATCAATGATGCTGCCACCTCAGCTGGAGACTGAGCAAAAGCATTCAAGGATTGATTTGTCACCAAGTAAAGTCAAAAGAATGGCTTCATCTCCAATGTAGGCACCTGCACTGGGTTGGATTTTCATAACAACACAAACCTAGACATATCTGGGAAGGGCTTTTAATTGAGAAACCTTCATAAGACTGGCCTGTGAGCAAGCCTGTGCGGGTATGGACTTGATTAACAATTGATATTAAAGTCTATCCCACAGTGAAATGTGCCATCCCTGGGCAGGTAGTCCTAAGTTGTTTAGGAAAGCAAGCTAGCAAGCAGTGTTCCTCTATGACTTCTGCTTCAGTTCTGCCTCCACAATTCTGCCTTGAGCTCCTGCTCTGACTGGCCTCTAGTGGAATGTGACCTGAGAGCTGGAAAATGAAATAAGCACTTTCCTCCCCAAGTTGACTGTGTACATGGTGTTTTATTATGTGAAACCATATGTGAGGAAACACATATTAGTGAGAATGGAAATAAATATAATGTATGAGGATTCAATGTTTACTATAACAAATTTCTGTATCCTCAGGGCCTTAAAATTTTATTATCAGCCAGGCATGGTGGCATACACCCACACACATGGTGGCATTAATCCCAGCACCAGGGAGGCAGAGGCAGGCAGATCTCTGTGAGTTCTAGGCCAGTCTGATCTACGGAGGGAGTTCCAGGTCATTAAAAACAAAACAAAACAAAACAAAACAAAAAAACCTTTCAGTTGTATAGTTCAACAGGCTAACTTGTATCATATTGGGCAAAAGTTTAGGAGGGTATACAGGAGGGTATACCCCTGGTACCTTTTAGTTCTGTTGCATTTCCAGCTTCTATGGGTTGCTAATACTCCTTGCTTCCTTCCTCCATCTTCAAAGCCAGCGATATCAAATCAAGTGTTGCTCATGCTGCCTTTGTTTTGACTCTGATCACTTTTTTTATGATCATTGCGTTTGGGCTGAAGGAAAAAGCACTTACTGCTCTTGTAGAGGACCCAAGTTTGGTTCCTGCCACCTAGAAGCTCTGATATCTCTAGCCTCACTGGCACCTGCAATCATGTGCATGTACCCACACACATACACACACATACACACACACACACATACACACACACACATACACACACACATACACACACACACACACACACACATACACACAATTTTTAAAAGGCATGTGCACACACTGTGACTACTCAGAAGATCTGGTTAACAACCTCATTTTTACCTGAAACCTCAATATTCCCTTTATTATGTAAAATAATATACTTTCCGTCTCCATAATTTGGATATTGACATCTCTGAGGACCATTAGTCCGCTCACAATATACAGCTTCTCTAGAAAGTGGTGTGGTAATAGCTATCAGAATTTTTAATTTGGTTCAGTGTGGCTGCTGCTAAGAATTTACCCTGTGGATATACCTCACAAAGAAACCACGAGGACATATGCTGCAACATTAAGATTAAAAAAAAAAACAAAAAAACAGGAATCAACCGAATCTTCATTAAGTAGAATCATATTAAAGCTGATTGATATTAAGCGCCATGAAGAAAGATGAAGCAGAGCTGTGGATTTTATCAGCAAACAATTTCTAAGAAGAGAAAAATACCTCTAATAGGCTTCCATTTCAAAGAGAATGAAAATACACCAGGATAGGTATTCCTGGGGCAAGGCGGGTGGCTCACTAGAGACGCCATACGGTGTACCTTTGGAAAGAGCTTCAGACAGAGCAGGCGAAGGGAATCTCGCTTTTCATTTAATACCCTTAGGTGCTGCTAAACGGCATTTTCCCCAACAACTTCCACTACTGAATCCAAAAAAACAAAACAAGCTAAAACAATAAACAAAACAAAACAGAAGAGAGAAGCTTCAACACCTAGTAAAGAGCAAGAGCCCTCGCTCTGACAATGGTTGCGGCCATAGCCTGTGTATCACACGTCACAAAAGCACCCACTCGAGTGTGTCTGCCACTTCGACTTCCAGGGCAAGGGATGGTACCCTGTGGACCCCAGGTGTTTCAGGAGGCCCACACCCTGAAACAGTAAGCAACCTTTCCGAATATTTAGACATGCGTTGTTCCAGAAGAAAGCCGGCTGCTTTCTTCAGACTTCCAAGGGATTATTAGTCACGTGGGGTGATCGGGCCACTGCTGAGGGCTAGGTGAGCTTACTAACATCCGGTTAGTTCCCTGTGTAAAGTGTGTGGAGTAAGGGGCCACCTGGGATGTCTGACAGAATGTGTTCAGAGAGAGGCCTTCTCTTCTCCATCACAGTTATACCTTCTTCTGAGAGCTAGATGTCTCTCTGGAGACAGCTTATATGCCATAAGAAGTGATTGAAAGACCTTTAAAGTACTGTTCTAACCCATTTATTTATGTCTGTACTCCGTGGGCTGATTTGTTAGGCCCCACAGTTTTCCATGCCAGTGAATTCTCCTCTGGTAAGCATGATTAATGCCAGAAGATTGAGTTTCCAAAGCGAGCTATCATCAGTACAAATACTGATAATAGCAAATGAAAAATACCTGCTTGAGAGAGGGGAAGGGGAGAGAGAGACCAAGATCGTGAGACAACCTTGATTTTCTCAGCAATAATGCATTTCGTTTCCAAAACACTAATTTTATTGTTTTTGTGCATAAACCCAGCCTTGGGATAGAAAAAAGCCCTTTATCTTATATCCATCTTTTCTCAGTCTTTCTTTAAAATGTTTTTTTTTTGTTTTGTTTTGTTTTTTAACAATTCAGCTTTCTTACAGTCTAATATGTCAGGAAGAAATTGTTCCTTTCTTTTACTCTGAAGAAATAAATGAACTGCACCTGGCTCTTTCCTTGGTTTTAATAAACTGTATATAGATGAAATTTATATCTTAAAAATGGTTAACAATTGCACCCTTTAGGGAACTGCCCAAGAAGGATCAGGCTGTTCCTTACCTATAGGGACCCACTGAACAGCTCTAATTTG